TGTTATCATGGCTGCGATAACACGCAGTAGTAGACGACTTATTCGTGACTGTGCTCTTTGCTCTAGCCGGCGTTGCCTGGCTAATGAAATAAAGCTCCGTAGTCGCCTCTGCCCCGTTCGATCCGACCGGGCGCGGTAGGGAATATTCTCGCCACCCTCCCGGCGCCGGCCGGACACAACTTTATTGCCCCATGAATTGCTAGTTTCTCCATTGTAATACCTCCCTGGGGCAAAAACGATATCCGCGAGGCTTTCGGTCTGTAAAAGTGTTCTGGAAGATTTCACTTCGTTTTAAAACATTACGCGTATAGAGACATGAAAATTTATGAAATCACACTGTTGAATGTGAGTTGATTTGGTCCTCCACGGCGGCGCATCGGCTGCTGACCGCTCACTCCGGCTGCAGCAGCGTGCTGTGCTGGCGCTGGTTGCCGGTCACGTTCCGCCGGCACAACAACAGGCTGTCCGCTCCAACGAGGTGACGAGGGAGAGTCGTGTCTAATGAATGAAGCGCGGTCGTTAGCGGCCCGGAGACAAAAGGCCTCGCCGGCTCGCGCCCTGCAATGCACCCCGCCCGACCTATGGGACTCTGCAATATCCGCCTCGCCTCAGCTCGCTCAGCTCCGGCTGGAAAGTAAACCTTTCTCATTTGTAATCTTTTGCAAAACGCCAGTCGCTCGAGCGATCTTTTTTTTTGTTTCAAGAACTTGATTTTAAATGTTTTTGACTACAGTTTGTGATAGATGCTAGAATGTGAGAGTAGTTGCTGGACGCCTGTCTCTCGGTGCGCGTGAACGCATGCTCGAAGCCGCGTCAAAGTCGTGATGCCTAAGGTCGATAGCCCGTCGATATCCATTTCGATATCGAGATGATGAGGCGTGAAGCGAGGCGTCATGCCGGCCCGAGTCCCAAACCTTTTTTTTCTTCTTTTTTTCAACCCTTTTTACTCGTTCTTTACCTCCCCTTACTTTATATACCGTGAGGTAAAAAGAACGAGTATTGTCCTTGGTGTGGTATAATTTAGAAACATCTGTTCATCTCTGTGAGTAAGGAGCTTACAAGTATGAATGAATGCTTATTCTACTCAGGGAATCAGCCCTGATATTCCATAATAGAGGTTTTTTTCAGTTACCAGTCAAAAATTTTACTGCCTAGTAAAAATTTCTAAGTGTTTTTAGAGCTATGAGCTATGAGGTAGTGACTGTGAGTGCACCATTATATTATTATACTGAGTTACTAAATTACTCGTATGTATGGCATACACACTTATTTTGTTACTAGTTGATTATTTTTATACAAAATTAAATTTTTGCAAAACACCCTTGTAAGATAAAAAGAGACACTTGCAAACACCCAAATCAAAAGTATCTTCCTGGGAGCTATAGCAAGCCAGTGGCGCCATCTGCTGTTAGAAAACGATCCCGCGCCGGCCTTCAAACAAAAGAATGAACTCAACAATGTATAGGGAGAAAAGTTGGTAGGGTAGAAGGGAAGACCTGATCACGGTCTAGTCTTATCTGTGAAAAGTGCAATAATCTGGTTGGTATATTATTAAAACTGATACCTTCATACTTAAAAACTTATTGCTTAAAAAGGTGTGTATGAACTGCATAAACTTTAACTAATATCTGATGTGTCTGTCACTAACATTCCTCTTCTAGCCATGTCACGTTACGTTATGTTATGTTTGAAAGGAACTGGAAAATGAAAATATGCTATCAACGAATTGGAACCCTGACACTAACATTTCTCTTTTAGCCATGTTTGAGAAATATGTTTGAAACAAATTGGAAAATGAAAATATGCTATAAACGAACTGAAACCCTTGTGAAATTACACAATAAAAACCATTTTAGATTCCTATGAGTTCCCCTCCAACAATTACAGTCGCTAGTACATTTTAAAATTTTTATAAAAATGGCCCGACCTACTTCTGATTCTTTTGTTGCAAAGTGAATCTTATTATCTTAAAGGGTGTTTTGCAAAAAGTTGATTATGTATGAAAAAGACTGAACTAGTAACAAAATAGGTATGCATGCCATATACATATGAGTAATTCAGTATAGTGATACAATACTACATATTAACAATCATAACCACATGAAAGTTTGCTAAATTGTTGCTAAATGTTTCACTACAACTTTACTAACTTATAATAGATGTTTCTATGTTGTCACACATCACTGGAAACACATCATGTATTCAGGGTTGGAGTAAAGAACGAGTTTATCTTTTTAACAGCAAATTAATTTGATGTTTCCTGTGCTCCTTGTTTTTCAAGTGTGGAGATTTTGCATGGTCTGTTAGGCCCTGAGAGTGACACCCAAGGTCGGGAGAGAAAGGGAGGGGAAGGGAAGGGGAGAGAGGGGCTTCCACAACGAGGGGCTCGTCTGTAAGTCCCCTGGCGTCGACCTGCCGGCGTTCCGCCCGGCCGGGCCTGCGGGGCGTGGCTCTGGAGCGCGTGCTGCGCCTGCTGCGCCGCTGCATGCGGGCCTCCGTCCAGACGCCGCGCCGCCCACGCCGCGCCCGCCGCGTCGCAGCGTACAGTATACGTAGGGGAGGGGAGGGGTCATCTTGTTCGCCGGCGCGAAGCCCGCCCCGCCACGCGCCGTCCCCGCACGCCACGCGCGCCACGCTGAAACTGCATAAATGCGCAATTTCCTACGATTTCCTATACTCTTTGCCGAGGTGCTCCGGATACCAGAACGAAAACCAGGAATTTTATTAGATAAGCTGGATGTTATCATGGCTGCGATAACACGCAGTAGTAGACGACTTATTGGTGACTGTGCTCTTTGCTCTAGCCGGCGATGCCTGGCTAATGAAATAAAGCTCCGTAGTCGCCTCTGCCCCCACCACAGCGTTAGCCTCGGCATGGCTGTAATGGATTTAGAGTGCATCACTGGCACTATAGATATCCGAGGATGTAGTACGAGTGTCCTTCTATTGAAAGTTAAGGAGGTGCCTATTGGCGGCGATGTCCAAAGGCTGTAGAGCTAGTTTTACAGTGTTAGTGTCGCTTTGTGGGCGTGTGGGTGAACCCGTGGGTGTCCCAGGGTTGTCCCAGGGTTGTCCCAGGGATGTCCCGAACAGCGGGCCAGCAGAACGGCCCTGCAGGCTGTGGAGGCCCTGCCAGTGCATTACAATGAGAGAGCGAGCGCCGTTCATGTTCATTTCACATTCTACACGCACCTTTCACTGCGGCTAACCGAGCCTAGGCTGCAGGTCGCGGCGCGGCGTGGTTCGGCGAGGCGCGGCCGTTGTTACGGCCCTTACGCTGCTAGAAACTCGCGGGGAAAACCTACGAGTGAAAATTTGATGAAATTTGTTTCCTTTCTCTTCTTAAAATGTCGGAGTCCAATTACTTTATGGGATGGTCGTTTTTGTTCCAGGCTCGGATGGAGGTGGAGGACCTGTTCACGGACCTGGCCGACGGCAAAAAGCTGCTCAAGCTGCTGGAGATCATCTCCGGCGAGAAGTTGGGCAAGCCCAACAATGGCAAGATGCGCGTGCACAAGGTGGAGAACGTGAACAAGTCCCTGGCGTTCCTGTCCACCAAGGTGAGTTACAGGCACTGACACGCAAGTGCTTCTCTGGCAGCAGACTTGCCAGACGAAAAACACGATGAGTGTGTGGGGTCCATTCATTGTGCGACCGCATGTTGTTCGCACAAGGTTGTGCGCTGGGCTCAGCAGAGGCGCCGGTGGGGTAGGCAAAACAAGCGACTGCGGGCGGGCGCGCTTGGCGGGCTGCCTACCACGAGCC